TTCATCAAGACTCCTGCACCACTTTCTGCCCTTCTAATGCCTTTACCCCACAGTATCATCTGCATGAGGGGAGCAGAAGGAGGCCCATTAATCACCACACTGTGCCTCAGAGAGAAACTCCATTGCATTACTTTAAACATTAGATTCTGTGTGGTTCAGGTACAGTAGAATGCATTGGACCTATTACCTTTAAGAGGCACAGTACGCAGGGAAAGTGGTAGGAATAGATTATTGCTCCTGAAGGGAGACATGTGAAAGAAGGAAAAGAGAGTGAAGCAGCATAGGGTTGACAAATCGGTCTGCAGATGTGATGGGAAAATATGGCACTGGCAGAAATTGACTATAAAATTTGTTGCAGAATTACAGATCTAAAGAGGAAAATAAAAGCTTTGAGCAAAGATGGTGAGCCTGGCCAGCAATTTCTCTGTATATTGTACAGAGGAACAGAGGAACTACAGGTCTGGAAACCAAACTCCATAACATCTGCCAGAAAGGCCCAAACAAATACAATGCCAGTACTGAATGATTTATAAATTTGTATTTAAGTACTTCTAGTTCTTCTAATGCTAAAACCTGTACCACTGCATCTTTATAGCAATGAGAGTTCAAAATATTCAATACTCTCCACACCTCTACCAAGAAGTACTGTATACGTTCTGCTCCGGGCAAAAGCAACACCCACGTGCTGTTCCTATTGTGGCTCCAACAGAAGAGTTCGTGCTTCCTCACTTTCTCGCCTTGTCTTCGTCTATCACAGTCTTCACAGGAAACAGGCCTGAAACACTCACACACTCTAGCACACTGTGGTTCAGTCCACCCAAAACGCATTCAGTTGCAAATCCATCCAGGGAAGAGCTCAAGCGAAATCCCATGCCATTTCTGTTGCTGTTGTTTTTTTTCCACTGAGATTCTGACAAAGGCATTATTCAGTAATCATTATGATAGCTAACAGTTGTAACATGGTCAAAATGACTGCAAGTCATTGATGTGATTTGCACTGAAATAGCAATAGCTGGAAATAAAACACGAGTCTATAAAAACATGGCTACACATTGTTTGTGGCTTATCATAGTCTATAAATGAAAATTTTATTTGGGATCACATTTGACCTTCAGGGGGTCACTGCAGCAAATTGTGTAATTGTGCAATGATTAATTCACATCCTCTTCCAGTTGATGTCCCTTTGGAAATTAGAAAATAAGTGCAGTTTAAATTTAACTCTGTTTTTAAAAAAAATTCAAAATTGTTTAAGAAATTAAAGAGATGTGTTTTGAAAACAGGATTTTATTCTCTCAGTCATGTGGTGCAAGGTACTTTGGACACAGACATCAAATGATCCCATACATACATATAATTGCATAAAAGTCTCTTTATCACTCAAAAAAGGCACCTTACTAAGTTATTATATCAGAAAAAAGTGTTCCTATTTTAGATGTTGTGTGTGAAAGCTAAGACGTGTTCATTGAGGCATGGCACATTCTTCGTCAGTGCAAGACATCTGATAATAAGCCAATCAGCAGCAGGCCTGATGGAAAGGGCTGAGTGATGAGAGGCCATTTTCCCAGCGGAGAGCGAGTGGACAGAGGATAGATGATGTGCGCTGATGCAGGCCAAGCTGCTCCCGCCCGGTGCCAACCAGCCAACACCTGAGACCAGAGAGGGCCACAGCTGAGCCTGGATCATTGTTCTAAAGTGCTCATACTGACATGCTGCTGGTGTTTGTGCTCTCTCTGCAGAAGGCACAAGTTTGAGTCATGTTTGGGCCCACAGTGGCCACTATTACTGTGTAATATATCAGCCAATTAACAAGGGGTTGGTGGAGCACAGTGACATTGGCATGCATACAGAAGGGAATCCACTGATAAATGGGGATTCGATTTGCATTAATTATCGCACTTGGCAGCAGGCAGAATATAAATGCATTATTATTTTTTCTTTGGTACCTGTTGCGAGACTCCCACTCGCTGCTAAAATAGAGACAGCTCTCTGGTGAATGGAATTAGTATTGATCACCTTCAACTAGGAACAAAATGCTTATCTGAACTACCTTATCTGAACTACCATTATTATAACAGTCAACATGAAAATAGTATCTGGCCTACACTTGAATCTATAAAATTGTTGAAGTACTATGTGATATTTGATGGGTGAGAAGAGCCTATTAACTATGTGTTATAAACAAGATTTAAACATTACAATGTTAATTAAATAGTTAACCAACAGACAATATTTAATTCTCACAATAACACTCTTAAGTTACACGTACCCAGGTGACTGGAATATGGGGTCCCTGGAGAGAGCCAATACCAACAACACAGTCAGACACCAATTACAGAGGTTATACACACATCTATCTTGCTGAGAGACTGAATCTCTAAAACAAAGGAGAATACAAAATTTAGTCAAGTTGGAAATCTGGATCTGCAATGCATAAGATATTTGCAAAGAAAAACGTGACAAAAGTAAATATGACAGAGCTAATCACTAAGCCACTGAAATCTGTGATGGAATTACAAAGCAGCATTTTGACTAAATGGCCAAGAGGAGGCAAGGCTTTGAAGGCGAGTAAATCCTGCTCAAGTTGCCATTCAAAAAAAAAAAAAAAAAAAGAAAAACTCAAAATCTAACCAGGTGACAACATAACTTTTCATTTTTGGCTACCTTACCACCAGGATCCACAGACATAGACATAGAAAAACCAATATAATAAATGTAATATGGTGTAATATAATATAATATCAAAAAGCAAAAATATAAATGGTAACAATAAATTCAATATAAGTGGTAAAAATATCAAGAGGCTGGTGTAAAATAAGGCATAATTGTATATAGAAGCATATGCAATTATATTGTATATGTAGTATGTATATTTTATACTTGTACATATACGCAATTGTATATTTACAAGTAAAAATAAAATAATAGAAAAATATACCCTGACACACATGCTTCACCAAACAGCTAACACCTATAATGTGCTCTTCTGTCAGGTGCCTGCCAACTCTCTAGGCATAACAAACACATATGTAAGAGCTGCATTTGAAATCAGAAGGTTTGTAAGAGCGCCTGCAGTGGAGAGATAAACACAGCTCATTTGTCAGAGTGTGAATGCATGCATGCATGTCCTATTGTGTGTAAGTGTGCACGTGTGTGTGTTTGTTTTCTGTAGTGAATTCCACCTACCCGGACAGCACAAGCCCCAAGGAGTCCAGCGGCACACAACGCTTCAGTTCAATTATCGTTTACTTACTGCCATCTTTTCTCTTTACCCAGGGCTGCGTCATTTCTCAAGCTGTAAAAACAAGTCATGTCTGTGGTAAGGCTGAGAGGCAAGAAGGCCTAAAAAAAACCCAACAAGAACTGGATTTTAATCATGGAAGGCTACAAATTCTGTATTTGTTTGCAAGGTATAGGTCATTTTTCAGTGCTTGACTTGATAAATAACAACTTGAACTTATTTTTGAAGTCCTTGAGAGGTAGAGGTGGGTAGATTATCAAAATAATGATAATGTTATGAATGCTGTTCTGTACATTTCCAAATCTTAACATTCAGTTAATTAGTGTTGTTAATCATAAAAATGCTGCACAGAGAATTGAAAAAAATCAAGTTGTAAAGTTACAAACAGTCACATAACATAGTCCAAGTATAAAAAGTATAAAAATATCAAATTTGCCTGATACTTTTTATGACATATTTTGGATTTACCTAAATCTAAATAACATTATTGGTCAAAAAATGTTTTGCCATTTTTTGGCATTTTTGCCAATATTTCCCACCCCTGCCCTTGCCCTTCCCACCCTCATTTAAGTCTGAACTACGTTGATTTTTCAAGAATATACTAAATGAAAAAATTCCAGAGACAACAGGCCAGTAAAACTAGTTTAATTGTCTAAAGTCTGAACTTTGGTCTGGGCACCACATTAACTCATTCAAATACCTTGTTGGTAGTTTACAGAAAGAAGAATTACAGAAAGAAGAGACTATATGTGTCACTATATGTGTCATTTAGTTCTTATTACATCAAAGTGTTTAAAGGCATGTTATGTATGACAGCTTGAGAACAATCAGATCTTTCAACTGGGATTTGGGCACATAATCCAAGACCACTTTGTCAAAATTAAACTGAGAAAGAACGTGAATATCCTTTGAGAGTAGCACCACTTTAGTGCACTGTGAAGTTATTTTACTCCTCATTATAAGTGCTAAATGTACTCCTATTCCTAATTCGCTCCAGCTCAAACTGCTTTGTAAAACAAGCCTACGTATCTATACCAGAACACAGGGGATGTATAATTTCTGCTCAGTGTGCCATTCTCTGTATGAGGTAGTTAAGAGCCAGAACTTGGCATGTTCTGCCCCAGTAAGTGCCTTCAGAAAGAACTGGCTGTGAAAGCTGCAGTCAAATAGCTGTAATTATGTACAATCAGTCGACAACCAGGGGCTGGCTGAAAGGCTGCTCACACACAAACACCACTGAAAACGGGCAGAATAAAAGCTTGGAGGGCAACAGAGGCGAAAATATGGCACAATATAAAAAGATGGCAGTGAGTTAGTCTCTAAATCAAGCACCAAGGTTGTGAGAAAAACATGCAGTAATTGAGATCACAAATACTGCTTATGTGAATACTAACTGGGTTTTCTCTAGTTCTCTCTATCATTAACATGAACATCAGCGGTAAAATAATAAGACTAGTTGCTAAACAGCCATGTGATGTTTTATCTTTGTCTTTAATGTGTAAGGAAAGAACTTTGAAACTCCATGGACAGAATATTAAATCTGTTCTTATAGCAAAGGGGGAATTGTTTTCACTGTAAAGACTTTAGCGCGACTGAATTTAATTTAGATTACTATTAGTGATAGATGAGCTTTCTGATTTACGTGTGGTGTAAATTAATTCAAATTTTAAGGCAAATTTCTTAACTTTACAATTTTGGAAGTTGGTACGTCACACTTTCACATTGCTTATATAAAGTCGACATAACAATTTAGCTTAACAAAATGAAGTTTTGTGGGCAGGCAGAGATGCTGGGTAAGCAGAATAGGTTATCTCTGTAGCTTGTGGCTTGAGTTGTTGCTTGAATGTGCAAATTGAAAGTGTCTAAAGGGAGGTAGTTGATGAAAGAGGCTAAGGGATGTATTTATCACTCCAATGTCTAATCCTTAGGGCACTAGTTCATTTAGGTTTATAGTGCTTTAATAGGACCACCTGTGTTATTGATGTTTCTTTGGTGAATACTTGGACATAAATCTTTCATTTATTCCTCATATTTCTGTATAATTCAAAGCTTTATTAAGCAAGTACTACAGAGCGGTGGTGCTAGTGAAGTGGAAATGTAGAGTTCAAATTGCTTCCCTAGCACTGCTTACATTAAAGGTCCACAGATAACAGACTCGCTGCAGCAGTCAGCAGCTTTAAAGCATCCGCCTGATCTTTAAATGTTTTTATATCATCCATCTCCATTCATCTCCCCTACCACACTTTTTCTCTGAACCGAAAATAATTTCACCAATTACATTGGAAACAGCAATGAGTTATTGATCTTTGGCCAAACCATTTAACCCCCATAAACATCCTCAGAGGAGTCAGAACGCAATCAGTGCACAAATCTGCACTGGAGCACCGACTCCACAAAGCAAAAACGTGGTAATGACAGTGAAGCCGTACATCATGTGTCTGAGCACAAGGACTCATATAACTGGTGTCCCTGTGCTGTAAGCAGGGACATCACATGAGCCTGAGTGCTGGCTTCAAGCCTCTGCTTACACACACTTAAAGGCAACCAGGAGCACATAAATGCATAGAGCAAGAAAGTGTGGAGGCAATCAAAATGTATACATACAGGGCAATTTACAAGGAATTATATTTTATATAAAAACCCACAATATATGACTGAGATCATCACCAGTGCTAGAGCAACAAAATGCAGATACACACTGTAACTATACAATAATATGAATAGATGGAAATTAATACACAGGGCTTGGGAAACTGCAGCACTATCTAGGGGCAATTTGTTTAATCAATAAAATTGCCCTCAGACACAGTGAGTGACAGAGGGTGGAAATGAAGGCAGTGAAACCGCATTCTAGAAACAGAATTTGGTGCTTGAGGTGTTAGTGAAGGTGAAAGTAATTTCAAAGACTTATTTGAAAGACAAAACAACTGAAGGCAAGGCAGACGTTTGCCCAAAGACAAATATTCTTCTTTGCATACACACTCGGTCTGACTAATTATAAATAAAAGGTCTAGAGGAAGTGGGAATCGAGGTAAGGATCAAAAGACAAAAAATATATATAAGAAGTATTTTTCATCCATTACTATTTGAGTTGAGGAGGAGTTAATCCTTACCTCTGGCTTTCATTTTGACACCCATAAAATGTATTTTATCTGAAATCAAATAAAAAACCAATCTGCCCTTTAGGGAAAAAAATGCTATAATATTAAGCATTTGGTGTTCTTCATGTTTGATCTTCTACAAATGTTGAAACCAGGCTTCAAGATTTTAGGGGCAAGATCAATGGAAGAAAAATCACAAGCAGAACATGACGACAGTCTTCTCTGGTCGGTTGTACTCCAGAGGAGCAGGGTGACTGCTGCTCCATTTTGACTGTGACTCTGCCTCTTGCTGCAGAGCAGACATGAGAGACACATTATCACATTGTTTGGAGTGGAGACACTTATCTGCCTGAGGGCAACAGTCCGGATTACACACAGCTCTTGGTTGAACCTCGGCTTGGGAATGGGTTGGTTACATGGAGAGCCTCACTCGGATCAAAGGATGAGTGGAGCTGCCTGCAGAGAGAAGAGCACATGAGACCACTGGGCCCACATAACATCAGGCTCATTCAAACATAAGGCCTGAGAGCACAGCAAATGCAGAGACACATCTATACACTTTTCTGACCTGGCATTAAATGTAAGATTAAGGCTTAGACTACCAAAGCCCAAAAAATGTCAACGTAACATTTGGCCACACTTGTGTGTCAGAAGTAATCATATAGAACAATGCAATAATTTAAAGGATATTTTAAGCATAAATAAATTAAAGTATTAAGGCCAACCCACTTCCAAACAAAAGCCCAGCCTCTTGTGTAATGATTTCACTTAGCATAAATTGGTCTTAAACACACACATAACCCACATTAGTCCTCAGTGTGAATCATTAGAATATGAAGTGCTGACGCTGCTCCTATGAGGCTCCACTGGAGCACACTGCTCCAGAAACAGCTGAATGAAACACTTTGACGCTAACAGAAATAACAGTTTTTGCCCAGTGCTTTGGTAGGCGCATCCACAGACAACGCGTAATGGATGGACAGCTCGACAGACTACTCTCTTTACAATGGAGTTTATATTTATTTACCTTTGACTCCATGGGTACTGATCAGAATGTCCTTTGAGAACTAGCCTGTTACAGAAGGGCAAATTGCACCCAACCTGCTGGACTCCAGCCGCGTCTGAATTGGGAGCACTGATATCCGCCAGCACTGTTTGCCCACTTTAATAGGCACGTCCTGTCTACTGGGGTTTGTGCTGCCCTTGAAATATTCTTTTAAGACTTTCACTTTTGTACTAACCTAGAATGAAGAAGTTTATAAGATCTTCTCTATGTTAGTTAACTTCACATGTCAAATTTTTAAATGACGACGAAGCTAATTGAAATCTTCACACTTGTTTGGGTAGCCCTGGGAGTCAGGGAGTGTCTGAAATCTGTTAGCTTTTGTAAAAGTAAAGACTTGGGCTTACCGATGCATTCATTGTTACAAGAGCCCCAAAGTTTGGAAAAAGGCCCCACCACTGTAAAAAAGTAAAGATGTGATACATTTAACAAAACAAGAAGCAGATCAATAGAAAAAAGTGCTACTCTACTCGCGAGTGAGGCAGCCAAGTGTTTTGGCGCCCTCTGCTGTTATAGTGCTGAAGCTTAAAACATATTTTTGTATAACAATAGTTGACCAATATTCCCTCTTCCTGGGTTATTTTTATTGAAAAAAATATTAAATTTGATAACTTAACTGAGATGACAACTTTAGACATCGTGTATATAATTAGCCTACTATTAGGTCTGTACTTGCCTTACTATAAGGACAGTGGGGAACACCACACTATGGGCCTGTCACGTCTTTGCTTTTTGTTTTTTTCTTTCTGCAGCTGCACCTGTGCCGGGCCGTCACTCAGCCCCTGCCCGGGAGAGACTTTCTACACTGCACGGGAACAAAGGCTTTCAGACAACCCACTTCCCAAGGAGCTCCTGGGCAGGTAGGCCTCCTCCTGGTTTATCAGGGGTCATAGGTCGTGATTCATTACGAGATTATAATTGTGTATTTCCGCCATTTCTGCATTTAACATTTGTGTGTGTGTGTGTGTGTGTGTGTAAGATTGTATATGACTTAAATATCCATCCCTCTGCTGGCTTTGGTTCATCTATTTATAGCGCTGCGAGGGCATTAGCTCAATGGCTGTTTAGAAATGTCATGGAAGGCATAAAAGGTCTGTGTGCATCTCCAAATATAAAGGTCATAAAAGCAATTATCATACGCAATAAACCTGCCATAGATTTATATAATTCATTATTAAATCTACTGAAGCTTCTGCTGCCATAACATGAGATACCCTATTGATTACTATTAGTTGAACTTATAGCATACATGGAGTCATTTTTGGCCCATGACCTAGTGACCCCATCTCAGTGTAACCCTACAGGCCTGAGACTTTGTGATGTTATTTGGAAACTAATATAGCAATTAGTCTACAAAACGGTGTAGGCCAGCTGACATTATGCTGTTTTTAGGCAAATTTCAGGATATGGATGAAAATTATGAGACATTTGAAGAGGATTCACCTCCACAGAGACCAAGTCGACTTATCCGCAGACCAGGTGACACAAACACTCACACTCAGACATACACTCACACACATCTATAGTTGATCACTTGGATATATATATATATATATATATATATATATATATATATATATATATATATATATATATATATATATATATATATATATATATATACAATACACAAACCAATTGTCTCTGTCTCAAAAACTTGCAAATTGTTTGTTCACATAGCAGATTCTAGAATAATCACAAAATATCAGCAAATAAATCTCACAATAGGAATATGTTTGATTGAGGCTTATATTTGTTGTTTTGTGGCTTACGTATAAATATCCCATCTGTTTGCAGATATGTATGCTGCAAGAAAACTCAAGGAGGTTAGTTGGAACAAATTCCACACTTTAAATAATATAGACTTCTATTAAAAAAACAATTACATTGCTCATTTTCACCAGGAAATGGCTTCAGTACCTTTGCAAATAAAAGCAGAGCCCAAAGTTTTAGCCAGAGAGACAAGCTTTAATAGATCAGGTAAGTATCCAGGTTATCTCATTGCCCAACTTGGTAGAAAATTGAATGATTTTCTTCTCCAGCATCCATGCCGCAAACTGTCTCCACCCAGAATGCAAGCCAGCCAGAAGTTCCATGGGAGAGTGTAACGCTAAACCGCTGTCTGTTCATAGCAATTACAATCCTTGTGCTCACCTCAGGATTTCAAAGACTTCATGGTAATATAAATAGAAAATGAGAATGAACTCTTGCTTGGTTTATATGACTCAATTATTCTATATTCATATCATGTAGAAGCTCTGCATGGTCACAAGGTGACACTTGATGAAGAGGAGGATCAATATGGGCTAATTATGAGAAGATCGGGGGGACTGCGACATCAGACAGCGGTAAAGCACACTTTTTCACAATACACTTTTACATAAAATGTAATAACCTTATATATTCTCTGACTATAGCCTGAGGCAACCTTATGGGATGTAATATTTTCCTGGCTACCAGACCTTGATGATGATGATGATGATGATGATGATGATGATGACGATGATGACGATGATGAAGTAAGAGTACTAAGGAAAAGGAAACCAAAGAGACGAAGAGTTGTAAAAACTCTGAGTGGTCTTAGGAATCGACCACTAACAGACAAACTATTAAAGCACAGAGATGGCCAATCAAAAGTCAGACAGGCCAAGAATTTGGTGGAACAAAATGAGGATTTAGGAGAAACAGCACACAATCAGGATGACGATGTGGAAAATTTGGAGAAAGAATCAAAGAAAGGCTTAGTAGGCAAAAAAACCCTAAAGGGTAGAAAATTAAATAACTGATAAGCACACTAGAGTATAATATGCCAGGACTGAAATGCATTTGGTAGAAACCAGAGATATGTAATTAAAAAAATTCTGTTAATGGCATTTACTTTAATTTATGGAAATGTGACAGATTTTTAATCTGTGAATTCTGGGCTATAAATAAATGTACTGCTAAAAAATGGTGTTCAAAGTCCAACTAGTATTTTACTTAGAAACACTGAAGTTTAGGTTGTAATAACTGGAATTTGTGTTCATACACTGCCATCCTATGATAAGATGATATTTTATCACAAATGTGTTTATTATAAAAATTTCAAAATAATAACACTCTTTGGATTTTTTTTTTTTTTTTTAATAATTTCCAGTTTTGTACATAACCTAATAACAGTGACAGCAACATGTTGAGCTTTGCAAAACCAAGAAATATAAAAAACGCATTGTGTACATGATAAAAACCAAGAGGAATCAGTTATAGGCCTTCTGGGGGCGGTGGCCTCATGGGCATTGGAGGCATTGCCATCTGTGGGGGCATCTGTGGTGCACCAGGCGTTCCAGGGGGCAGTGGAGGAATAGTCATACCTCCTGGTGGGGGAGGAGGGAGGCCATCATTTGGTTGGTGTGGGCCACCCATCAAAGGAGGGGGGCGCTTGACTCCACCAGGAGGTGGTGGCCCAGACTGAGGAATGGGCTTCTCCATTTTGAAGTGAAACTGAAGGAAAAACTAACAAAGAACACAACATAATTTTAAATGAAATTATTTCAAAATGCATCACAATTTAACTCTTCAATTGTACCTGCTTTGTTTCCTTGTTCCAATGTGTCCAGAAGCGATTTTCTGCTTTATCAATTTCCCGGCTTGGTACCTGGATAATGATAAATGATGAAGATAATTATAAATATTAAAAACAGTAATAATAATAATTAATATGTATAGTATATGTGCATTATTATTAGTGCTGTCATGCGATTAAAAAAATTGAGAGATTAATTATGATCTGTAATTAATTAATCTAATTAATCTCATTTTAATCTCACCTAAAAATTGCTGAGAAAAGCCTTCAATTTGAGGTATTTTCATTTAAATTCATTATTACATTATTGTGGCAGATCAAAAGACTGAAATAGAACAAAAAAAAGTGACTTTATAAAGTCATTTATTTATTTAATCTCCCCAAATTGGCTGTTGAGCCCAAGTCTCCATGAATAAGAAATTGTTTGCTGTAAAGTAGCAAAGACGAGGAAATCTGAACATAATAACTTTTGTCTACTTAAAGACAATAAAAAGTCCAGTCTTTCCTTAACCATATGAAAAATATTATTGATAGAGAAATGCTTTATATATATATATGAGATCACTGGTTTTAGTCCTTGTTTTAGTCCTGGTTTAGGCCTGCTTTAGTCCCAGTTTAGTCCTGGAATGGATTAGTCCTGGTTTGAGCTCTGGTTTGAGCTCTGGTTTGAGCTCTGGTTTGAGCTCTGGTTTGAGCTCTGGTTTGAGCTCTGGTTTGAGCTCTGGTTTGAGCTCTGGTTTGAGCTCTGGTTTAGTCCTGGACTGGATAAGTCCTGGTTTTAGTCTTGGTGTTAGTTCTGGTTTAGAGGCGCACAGGAGGAAGCGCGGTTTACGCAGCGTACGCGAGAAAACACGGTCCACACGCGGCTCACGGGAGGACAGCGGTGACCGCGCAGTAACTACGGAAGGAAACGTGGTCCGCGCGTTCTCAGGTTAATGACGATGATGAAGGTGTGTGTTTGTGTTTGTGTGCGTGTCCCCTCATGTGGCAGGTCACTATAGGACAGTAGTGCAGACATCATGAGCCTATGCAGGTTGTTTTCACCAGTGACATTTAAGTTGTAGGCGATATTATATTAGTTATTTTCTTTTATATTTCACGTCGGGAGAATAATTTCCAAGACACAAATGCGTTTTTACCTGTGCACTGCTGACTCTGTTCTACTGGCTCTACGACCTCGTCCATTGTGCCTGACGCTGCCAACGTTTACGTGACGTTTACATCGCTCTTACTGCGTGCGTTTTGTGTGGGTTTCCGGCAATGAGTGGAATTACCGAAATAAAAAAATATATGTGTTTTTTGTGTGTGTGCGTGTTGTTGTCCCAACAACACATAAAAACAGGTTTTATAATAAAGCAACTCGCATACAGAAACACTAAAGTTAGAGATTAAAAATGAGATTAAAGCGATTAAAAACATAACGCGCTAAATGACGACTGTAATTAATTAATCGCAATTAACGCGATAATTTGACACCCCTAATTATTATATGTATATTATTATATATAATATACATATAATAAATATGTATATTATATATTATGTATAATATACATATAGTATATGTATATTATACATGGCATCACATTCATACACAGACAAGCAAATTAAAACAACTTAGTAAAGGAAAAGAATGAGCACCTTAAATGATATTGTTTCATAAGGTTCAGCTGCCATAAGCAAGTACTGCCAGCGACGGTCAGGTGGCTCAATGCGCTGTTCATAAGCAGACATGAAACGATGTCGTGGTCCAATGCCTTCTGCGATTTCTGGGTAATCAATCTAGAAACATAATATATAAAATTTTAATTAGTGGGTCTTCAAGAGATCATTTAAATAGCTTTGAAGTTTGAAAAGGCCTTTTGCTTGTTTATATCATGTGTCACAATAAATGAGTCAATTTACAAACCTGGAAAAGTAGAGACTGCTGTCCTGTTTCTGGGTCTCTTTGCTTGGTTACTAAATAAAACAGAAAGAAACATGTACTCATTAGCTTAAGCAGTAAATAAAGAGGAGGGTAAAGAGACACAATTATACCTTTATAACCAGGCCGCCCAATTTTAACAAACTTTTTGACCTCAACTTTAACTTTTGCTGGTGCTGGTTGAGCAGGTGCATCTTTGGCTTCTTTAGCTGCTCTCCGGGCTCTTAAAAAAGCAGAGATACAAATAAATGTTACCATATGGAATGGTGGACAGGAATTACAGTTTTCAGAACTTAACTTACAAATTTGTCTGGTGTTTTTTTCCTTGAGTGTGAGCCAAGTAGCTGCCCTGTTGAACAGAGGGAGAACTTAGCAAATGAATGAGGCAGTAAAGAAGTAATAATAAAATTCCCTAATGTTACACATATTAAGTACCTCATTGTTGTGCAATGTCAAACACAGTTTACACTCATATGACCCTAAATGATTTTTCATAAAGTATGGGTCCTTATTTATGTCAATTGTCTCTAGAGCCAGCTGGCGTAGCCTTTCTCGTCTGTCCCGGTTACTTTCAGAAGCGGAGGCCACTCCTCCACTCCCAGTTTTTCCCCCAGCTCGATGCTGGAAATCCATTTTTACAGGAGGTTAAACGGTTAACAGTGGGAATGGGTCTCCAGAAGATCTGTAAGTGAAGAACAAATAATGTATAAAAATCTGATGTAGAACTTAGAAACAGTTGTATTGATAGACAAAAAAACCCCCAAAAACATCCAGTAACATTTGAAGGACAACGATTGAAAACGCAAAAAAAATAAAGCACTTTACAATCACTTCACATCATTTGAGATCTTTGTAGAAGGTGAGTGAAAAGAAGTAGGTTACACCATTTCAGCATTTTAGCTACCTTATCACAGTGATGGGCTAATAGCTAGCTACATTACTTTCGAAGGATAGGTTTCGTGTTTTTAGCAAATGGATGGGACAATAAATAATATCGTAATGCAGTTCTATTATGCTGCGCGAGTAGATTCTAAAGAAAACACGTTAAGTTTCTCAGATAAAACAGATTTCCAACAATACTTACAAAATCCTTACGTTGAAATCACGCTTGACTTGTGAGTCGTACGGTGCGCATGCGCGCTTTTCTTCTACGTGTTTAAGGTTATATGGTTTAAAGGCGCTACAGTTACTTTAAGCGCATTAGCGCCACCTGCTGGCCAAGGACATTTTTTCGTTCACCTTGTAAAAACGTTTTCCAAAAATGCAAACCGCCCCTTATTGGATATTTTTGACAACATATACTCATTAGATGTTTTCGATTACACAATTTAAGTAAAGTAACGTTTTGCGTCTCTTGAGCCTCGTTGTACACCTTACTAGTAACATCGAGAGGCGTCATAATGAGAGGCGTGTCGTCGTGGTGGCTGGTGGTGACGGAGTGTGGCGACGTTTCTTATTTGTATAAATTCTTTTTTATGTATGTATGTTTTAAATAGGCGATGTCACGTGATTTTCACTTTTTAAACAAGCTTTAGGTGTTATAATACTGTTATCTGAGTAAACGTACGATGTTTGTACTTTGTTGACCGTCGTGAAGCTGTAGTTGTGCTGCTATCTTATATGATACTTTATCTGCGTCCAAAATGCGTTTCAATGAAAAAGAGCTGGTTTCCTTGAGTCGCCAACCGTCTGAAATGGCAGCTGAGTTGGGAATGCGAGGACCAAAGAAAGGAGACGGTATGTTTTAATTTTTATATTAGCTTTTATACTTCACCTTTTTGTTTCCTATACATATGACACAATCAAGGCATGACAGTTAACAACTTTGCACAGTGTATGTTGATGTGCGTGTTTTGTTTCATCTAACAGTTTTAAAAAAGAGGCTGGTGAAACTTGTGGTTAATTTTCTCTTCTACTTTCGGACGGATGAGGAAGAGGTGAGAGACCTACGGCTAAAGCTAAGCTAGTTAAAGGAACTGTGTGTAGCCTGTACTCTATTTCAGATTTATAAAGTTATTATGATCACCTGGTTTGCCAGGGCCCTCACCTGCATATAGAGGTCACATACACCTTTTTTCTCATTCTCTCTGATGAATGCCCTTTTAGGTTTAATAGGTATAAAATAACTGAATTTCACCACTGAACCTGGCAACCCAAATGAGAGACTCACTTGAGGCTCATTCCCTTTCTGATTTTTTTGTTTGGATAATAATTTTAAGAACCAAAATACAAAATTATTAAAATAAACAAAATATCCATCGTGTCAAATGTTTTAGTAAGAACAAATTGGCTATATTTGATTTTGTTATCAGTAAGAGCAATATTTGATGTGAACATGCTGGGTAGTAAACAGTAAGTTTATGTTTATCGAAGTTAAAATAAAAATATTACAGTTCCGTTAAAGGTCCTATATTACGCAAAACTGACTCTTGTTAGCATTAAGCCATCTATTATTATTAGTCTGTCTACATGTCTAAAGCTCAGAATGCTCTGTTCCACCTTGTGATGTCATGTAGTTTTAGTTTTCAACTTAATGGCTACTTTTTACCGTTTGTTTGGTAGAGTTTGGTAATAGGACTAAAATCATCCAAATGATTCTAGTGAAGGTGTATGGAGTTTAAAAACACAGTGGAGTACTTCCTGTAATGCCACATGACATCAGTGTGTGACAAATAGAGTGTTTTATGTTTGAGAGAAGGACTCATCCTAGATATACAGGGTTTGTGTGTTTAACACGCGTGAATGAAACAACTGCAGGAATGTTTGTGATGAGGAAACGACATTATAATATAGATCGGAAAATGGCGTGATATGGGTCCATTAACATAATGATATAGTCAACACTCAATGATGATGCATATATAGAATTATAGACAACAAATGTTAAGAACGAGTCTCTCTTTGGCAGCCAATAGGAGCGTTACTTTTGGAACAATGCAGAGTGGAGAGGGAGGACAGTTTGACCTTCACTATCAGTAAGTTTAGTTTTTTTCTCATTTCTAAAAGAAGTCACAGTATAATGAGCTTTTCATTGCTTCATTACCTGTCTTCAGTTTTTCTTGATGAAGCAGAGAGAAAGTATCAATTTGAATGTGATTCGGAGGAGCAATGTGGAGAGTGGATTGACTCAATCATCAAAGCCAGGTTTGTTCTCCATTTGCATAATGGTATAGGTCTGTATATTTAGATTTTCTTTTAAGATGAGTCTAAATGTATGTGATTTTCAATTAACAGATTATCAACATATTTTAAATGTCTTTTTTTTTTCTTTTTTTTTTGCAGTTATGAGTTCATGAGAAGGAACCTTATATTTTATAGAACTGAAATCCACAAGCTTACGGGCAAGGTGAGATTATAATCTTCATTTATTGAGCATGAAATGTGTATTTAGATCTTTTTTTCTCAATCAAGGACCCATTGGAACAGTATGGCATATCTGATGAAACTCGCTTTCAAGTGAGTAATAGCCTCCCACTTAAGGCTAGAGAAACATCCTCTCTGTAGACGGTGTAATGTCCTTTTGTGGATTTGTCATTGTAGCGTCACTCACTGCTGAAAAAATGCATTTCTTTGTCAGTCTTCTGAATGTAAAACTTAATTGTAGTCCAAATGTAGTCCATACAAGTTGGTTAATATTTGCCAGTAAACAAATAGATGTATTTTCAATTTATTTGTCACCTTTCTTATAAATCTGCACAGTCCTTTTTGTATACAAATTCTGTTTTTACTTTTTTTTTTTTTTTTTACATTTTCCCTAAATGTGAGGATGTGGTGTGTGCAGAAATGCTTCAAGCTACTTGAGCTTCAGTTGCTATTTTAAATCACTTCATATTTGATATGAGCCACAAACTGTAAATGTATTGTTACTTTCTATAGATGGTTTTACTTGTATTTATCATAAAAGACAAAGTCTTTTTGATTAATATAATTTGCACAAGTTACAAGTTATATTTCAGTCTGTTCCTGATAGTTAAGTTGCTTTTTTAAGCAAAAACATGCAACCTTTTTTTTTTTCTTCTTCTTTTTTTAAATAGTTTGATTCACTGGAACCTTGCTATTTTTTGTTTTTTTACAAATAAAATATTTGGACTAATTATGCCCATTTTCTGTCTTCCAATGCGCATAAAACTGAAGAATGGGTTGTCCTTAGTAATTATTTTTATTAGATTATCTAAAACACAACAAAAACAATATTTTAATATTTAATAACATCTGTCTTATTGTTTTGTCACTTGAAATTATAACATGTCCGTCTCGGTCATTTGCATGGTTCATAAAGCCTCAGACACTTATACAAATTTCATAGGTTATTATTTATTTTAAGTTAATTTAGGTCTAGTTCTACAAATTTCACAAAAACATACTCAATATATCCAAATCTTACTTAAGAAATCTGGTCTTTTTAAAGTGTATTTATTTCATTTATTTATTAATTCCTGGACATGGGCATGTGACATATAAATGGGTAGCTTCCGTGGATCTGGTAGTTCGTATGGTGTAGGTCTGCATCAGGACACCACGACTCAACTGCAGAAAGCACTATAAACACACTGTAAACCAGCCTTTATACACAACCATGAGAAAGTGCTATGAGAAGTCACTCAAAAGACTGCTGAAATGCTTAGTGACAGACCGTCTATTTCGCTAGATCCCTGGGCTGTAGCACAGGTATACCTTACATTAAGATGACCCCAGCTAATTACACAATAGCTATGAGTAAAGGTGTTGTCATCTATTTGTATTAGTCTGTTTGTTTAATCTGCTGGAAAATTGTGTTCTTAGCATATATTTTGTTCTTGCATTTTGGATTAATCAACGGTCCAGAACATTGTGACACGTTTCCTTAGCAACAACGATTGTGATTCAAAATCTGTGACGTCACACCCTTCCCGTGGTGCTTTGCGGACGCAGATGAAGCCCAGAAGTAGAAGATCGTAAAGTGTGTGTTGTTTATCGATAATAACACAACTCGGTCTGGTGTTTTTAAAAAGAACGTCGTCCTCAAGAATATTTGAAACCACACCTCAAAAGTTGGTATCACGGGCACGGTACGTTGAAACATGGCCGTCGCATTTGAACAAACAATGTTGCTAAAGCTTTTAGCTGGGCGGCTATGGGCTATGCATATAAATACTAGTGTTAGCAGGCGCTAGCTTTGTTTTGTGCCTGTCTATATTATTTGTTACTGATTGTTTGTCTTAGTGCGTTATTGTGTGTTTTGACACACCCTAATCTCAACTTCTCAACGGGACTCCGTTTCCTTTGTTCATTCCCGTGATAATGCATTGATATTTGTTTTTAAAGATTGCAAACATTTGTGTTGTGGACACAGCGTCTTGCAGCTGATCAAGCCTCGCAACGATTAATCAAACTGAAACAGAAAAGCTTTATTGTTGTCAGCAAAATTCACAAAATAGAACTGTGCTTTGTGTGATGTGGTGCAACGTAGAAATGAAGAGAAACAGTGTAAACTAAAATAACAAAACCATATAATTCCTTCAGCAATGGTTGTAGCTACGACCCACCACTACTGAGCTATTTATCTTGCTAATATTTAAATTATTTGTCTCTTACATTAACTGATATTGACTGAAATATAACCATTGTAATGAAATTGTATTTGTATTTTCACCAGTTACATTTATTATTATTGTCTTATTTTGTAGGAGTCATGGATCAAGATTATGAGAGCCGACTGCTTAGGCAGATCAACATCCAAAATGAGAATGCCAGCCCTGTTGTAAGTAAAATATCACGCATACTATACATTTTATTTTAATGATTTGTCTTTTCAATACTCACAATAAACCATAGCAAACACTAGTAATTTATTTGACAGTGTCATATAGTGACATGTAATCTTGCAAGCTAAGTAGCAGAATTTTGGTGCCTGTAGTTTACACCTCAAACAGATGGGCCCCTCTTTTTTTTTTTTTTTTTCTTCTTTTGATAAGAAGTCTTTTTTTTATGTTATGTGTAGAAAGTGGTGCGAGCTTTGACACCCACCAGCTCCCCCTTGTCCTCTCCGAGCAAGCATGGTGATCGGTTCATTCCCTCCCGGGCAGGAGCCAACTGGAGTGTCAACTTTCACCGCATCAACGTAAGTATGCAGTAACACTTTAAAGAAAATGCTGCTCGCCTAACAAAATGAACATTGTTGTTGAACTGTGGAGTGTGACACTTAAAGTGAAAACAGATTCTGCGCTTTAACGCTCTATTTTTATTTATTTATTTTATTATTATTATTTAGTTTAGTTTTCATATTATTTAATAGTACACTATATTCTCCACAGGAAATTGAAAAGTCACACAATCAAAACAGAAAAACCAAAGATGGCACCACAGACAGCAGCAAAGGTAGTACAATGTATTATGCAATGCTACTGTAAACTCATTAGAGTCTGAGATGTTTCTAGAATAAATTTGTGCTGTAGCAATTTTTATATTTTACTTCACATATGGATTTCAGCTGATGGCCTGGCTTACTCAGCTCTTCTCAAAAATGAGCTGCTTGGGGCTGGCATAGAAAAAGTTCAGGACCCCCAGTCAGAAGATCGTCGTCTATTGCCATCTAGTCCGGCCAAAAGAAGCCTTTTTAGTGTAAGCAATTATTATGAAATGTCCTAAAAAAGAAATTAACAGATGTCAGATTTCAATAATGTGGTCTATTAAATCTTCTCTTTAGTATTCTGTAAGTACAAAAAGGGCATTGTCTGAAGAAGATGGAAATACCGTGTCTCCATATTCCCTCTCTCCAGTCAGTAGCAACAGGTATTGGTTGTTTTTTTTGTTTTTTTGTTTTTTTTTTATCGAACCCCACAGCACTAACCTAAACTCTTTTGGTCTTGTAGTCAGAAACTGTTGCGCTCACCAAGAAAGCCGACTCGCAAAATCTCAAAAATTCCGTTCAAAGTTCTGGATGCTCCTGAACTTCAAGATGATTTCTACCTCAATCTAGTAGACTGGTCTTCTCTGAATGTGCTAAGTGTCGGTTTAGGTACCTGTGTTTATCTTTGGAGCGCATGCACCAGTCAGGTTTGTTTACTGTTTTTTATTCATCGTGGCTACATAATAACTTTGTGTCTGCTTATTCAGTTGCATTTTTATTTAATTACTATTAGGTGACACGTCTATGTGATCTTTCTGTGGAAGGTGATTCAGTAACATCGGTCGGCTGGTCTGAAAGGGTACATATGCTTTCTATTTTTATAATAGTACTTTGTGTAATTTGAAATTTTGAAGAATAGGCAATATAACTCATAATGACAATGATATATATTTTTTTGTTTTAATTTTATTCAAGGGTAATCTGGTCGCAGTGGGTACACATAAAGGTTATGTGCAAATCTGGGATGCTGCAGCAGGAAAAAAATTGTCTGTATTAGAAGGACACACTGCAAGAGTTGGTAAGTAAGGTTGTAGGTGGTGTGCATTAATATTAGTACACTGTAAACAGATGCTAAAATGATACTTTTTGCCGGTAGGTGCATTGGCGTGGAATGCAGACCAGCTGTCATCTGGAAGTCGTGATCGAGTGATTTTACAGAGAGACATTCGAGCTCCACCTCTTCAATCAGAGCGACGCCTCCAAGGACATCGACAGGAAGTGTGTGGGCTCAAGTGGAGCACTGACCATCAGCTCCTTGCCTCCGGTGGAAATGATAATAAGGTGCATAAAGTTATCGCATATTATCTTCACACATGGCAATTTAAAAAATTTACTACATTACAAGTTCCTACTAATAATTTAGTTTTTTTACATCTAGCTGCTTGTGTGGAATCACTCAAGTGTCCTCCCAGTTCAGCAGTACACAGAGCACTTGGCTGCAGTTAAAGCAATTGCATGGTCTCCACACCAACACGGGCTGCTGGCCTCTGGAGGTGGCACTGCAGACCGCTGTATCCGCTTCTGGAACACTCTGACTGGGCAGCCGCTTCAGTGTACTGACACTGGCTCTCAGGTCTGCAATTTGGCCTGGTCCAAGCACACTAATGAACTGGTGAGTCAAGTGCCATTTCTTTTGGGTGAAGTACTTGTTTATCTAACTACTGTGTTAATTTAAAGTTAGGTTTTAGTTGTTTGTGAAATATTTTTGTTCCAACTGCAGGTTAGCACTCATGGATATTCACAAAACCAGATTTTGGTGTGGAAATATCCTTCTCTTACTCAAGTGGCCAAACTAACAGGACATTCTTACAGGGTACTCTATCTGGTCAGTATCTTTTTGTAGTTGCAATAATCTTGCTTGTATATAGGTAAAAAATGTAATAAAATCATGTGTGTACAGGCTATGTCTCCTGATGGCGAGGCAATAGTGACCGGAGCAGGAGATGAAACACTTCGATTTTGGAACGTTTTTAGTAAAATGAGATCAACAAAGGTATTTTCTGACTCCTCGTAAGTTATAATATGACTTATAATGTAACACTGTAGATGCTAACCTTTCTTTTATCTCTTGTAGGAGTCTGTGTCTGTGCTGAACCTCTTCACCAGGATTCGGTAGTGGGCAAACTCTGGGCTACTAGGGAACACTCTGAACTCTAACACATAGTGTTGGGCTCTTCGTTAAGTATTCACCTGCAGTTTTTCAGAGGACCAAGGGTGATGAGCCAAGTTGCCGCGCAAACAGTGTTCCTCCTCAGTGACTGAGCCACTGTTCACGGTAGCCTTGATGAAAAGAGGCGCCATAATGTTATGTTTACAGACTGACATTGTGCATATCTGCCAAATATCGCATTTGTTGTTTGATTGTCTATTTATTTTTACTTTTTTATTATTTTAACATAATCTTGTGTGTTTGTTAGAATTTACATTTTTAAATGTGGAGTTTTGGTTTGATCTGTGGAGTATGTTTGGTTTTCAAAGAGATCAGAGAATGCGAAAGAATATCTCTTGTATGGCCGTTTGCTGTAAACGGCTGAAACAAATGTGTACAAGAAAGCTGCCAATATGTAGAGAAGACTTGAAGCAAAAAGACCTGAACTATGGAACATTTATTTTATGCAAGTATTAACTGATGTACACGTGAAAAATCCATAAAGAAAATTTAAAATAGTATATTTGGTGTTATTATTTTCTGAATGCATTAGCTC